CCCTATGAGGAGAGGCTACGGGACCTGAACCTGTTCAGCCTCCACAAGAGAAGGCTGAGGGGGGATCTAGTGACCTGTTACAAACTAGTCAGGGGGGATCAGCAGGCACTGGGGAAGTCCCTGTTCCCCCAAGCACTGCCAGGAGTCACCAGGAATAACGGTCACAAGCTGGCAGAGGGTAGATTTAGGTTAGACATCAGGAGGCGCTACTTCACTGTCAGGGCGGCTAGGATCTGGAACCAACTTCCAAGAGAAGTGGTGCTGGCTCCTACTCTGGGGGTCTTTAAGAGGAGGTTAGATGAATACCTTGCTGGGGTCATTTGACTCCAGTAACCTTTCCTGCCATGGCAGGGGGTTGGACTAGATGATCTACTTAGGTTCCTTCCAACCCTAGAAACTATGAAACTATGATTGCGCAAAAATGCTGTGTTTGATACTAATTTGAGACTATGTTGATGGTGCCTTCCTATTGCCAAGTAGCTAAGGCATCTACTAAGATGGGGACCTGGGGGGGCCCGTGAGGGGTTTTGAATCCTGACCTCCCATATCACAAGAAAGCAACCTAATTACGTGGCCCAGGTCAGGTAGTACTAAGAACTCTTTCTGATTGAAGCCAGATCACTGGGCAGCCAAGAGAAAAAACATCCTGAGAACAGAAGAACAAGAAGAAAGGAAGGAGCCTGACTCTGGCTTGGGAATGTGGCTGCTGTCCTGGCAGGGTTGGAAGCGAGAGGGAGCGTGCAACCTTGCTTTTCAGTATTTTGTGTATTTTCCATTACAGAGCCATTGGGAAAGCTTCACAAGCAACTTGGGGGGGCACCATACGTGCAACTTGCACAGTAAGGTAAATTGGGCATACTAATAGTTGGTGAGACCACCACTTGTATTGACGCAGCTTGATGGGGCCAGAATAGTGGCATGATTTACAGTAGTACTACTCCAGGTGTAAATCAATTAGAACACTGACTCTAATGCCAGATTTATTGTTTGGGGAAGGCCCCTGGCATATGTAATTTCCAGCATGATTAATGTGTTAATAGTATGAGTGAAAGTGACATGCCACACATTCATCAGATTTATGACACCATAATGTGGCAAATCCAGCCACAAAGGTTGTACATTTTGAGTAATATAACTTTGTGGCTGGTTTGCATGGCATCATAAATGAAACATATGGCATCATGTTATTGTCAGAATCAGGACACAGCTGCACTGTGGGGGTGCTCAGTGAGGCCAGCACTGGGGAGCCTCTCTATATTATCAGGTTTACAGTGTCCAGAGAACTCAAAAGAAGTGCTTCCAGCTGCAGGCCTGTTTTGTTTCTAGACACCTATGAAAGCAGCACCTAAGGAGTGGGGAGCTCCTACCCTGGCAGCAGGGAGTCACGCTGCTCCTACTTCCATGTAAGTAGGGAGATTTGCCCAGCTAACAGTTGGACGGTTTGGGCTTTCAGGAATTTTATGCCCCGTTGCCAGAATTGCACGAACTGCCATGTGCATCTAGCATAGCAGGTCATTTGATTCGGGGAAGAGGGCATAAAATTCCTCAGACCTTAATCATGTGACTACCTTAATATCTGCCAGCAGCATAAAATGCTGAAACAGTGTTGGGAGTAGGGGCCAGATCCCAGAGTTCGCACCCTCTAGGGCAGTGCACACCTATATGGGCCCCAGAGTTAGACTGCCTCTTGCTTGTTGTCCTTCAGAATCCCTGACGCTCTTGGATGCCGAGTAATCCACCTTCAAGAGGAAGGGCTAGAAAATGCTGACAGCCATATCTACCCGATCACTTGGGAGCTAGGATATTCTTTTGTGATATAGACTGCCAACCACCATAACTAGCAATGCTTTGGTGTTTGATAGTGGTGGGTGGCTACCTTTTGCCTTCTAGCCTCATGGTTAAGGTACTTGGGATATAGGTGCTGGCTCAGGCTGAGACTGAGGGGGACCTGGGTATCTTTGGGCAGATACTCTAACCATGAGGCTGTTTTATAGAGAGGGGAGGAGGACCTTCATCTCCACACATCTGTCTACTAAGTCCTGCTAAGCCACGCATGGCTTATGTGGTTGGGGGTAGTCAAATTCTGAATAGAAGAAGGGTGCTTAGTACAGCTTAAAATTCACTACTGGAAAAAACTGCCACATCTCCTGGGTAACTGAGAATTCATCCAAGTGAAACGAATTTGAAATGAATAGATGAACTGTGTAGTTTTGCAGTATGAAGGAGGATGCATTTCAGGAAGGGCACAAACTGCACATAGCTCCCCATTCAAAGTATGGGAGAACTGTGCATCTACACAGACAAGGAATAATTCCTTCCAATGTTGGTAGTCTAAGCTAGGACTTTGCTGATAGCTAGACATTATCTGGCTAATGGGTGAAATAACTTATCCCTGTATGTCTAAAAGCACACAACTGGGCTGGCTATCAGTAAATGAATAGAAAGATGAGAGAAATCTTTCTCTTCCTATTTATGAGCAGTTTGTCAAATTGTGTTTAAAATTATGCATGGAAAGCAGTGTTATTTTGAAAAAGAAAAGAAAGTTTAATTTGTGTCTTATGTCTTTATTTTTATGCTAACATTTCTTTTTGTTTTTAAAGTTATTGCATCTTAAACAGCTATGTCATTTAGCATAGCTAGTCGTTACTCAAACACTTTCAATGTACGAAAGTGTCCTTATGTACTAACCTTAGCACTGTTTTTGGTAGTTTGTACACTGAATCTGGAATTTACTCCTTTTTTTACTTTTAAAAAGAACCTTGTAAATAATTCGTATAATATTACTTTGACTGAAGGTTAAGAAGCACTGTTTTCTGTGTGATACACAAGCTTAGCTTGTTTTATTGTGATTTCTTTAAGTACAAATGTCAGCAATCTTGTGCTGATTACATGACATGATTTCCTTTTGAGTAACAGTCATTACAACATGATGAAAACACTAGCCTTTGTGTTTAATGCAATGTTGGTGTAACACCTGTGCCCTGTGTAAGAATGATGCATGAGCAGAGGTCAGGCTTCAGAAAGGAGAGTTCCAGAGCTGGCACTGGGTTCATGTTTCATTTAGTCATCCCCAGGAAGAGCCACAACAAAACCCAAAGTACAGGACCTTGGTTCCAGGGTCGTTTTTCTGGCTTAAGTGAAATCCAGCAGTTTGTGCTATTTGTTTACAATTAGATCAGTGATTCCCAACCAGCATGCTGTGGCACCCTGGGGTGCCTTGAGAGATCCTTTCAAGCATACTGTAGGGTGCCACCCAATGTTAACACTGTGAGGTGTGCTAACAGATTCTTAAAACAAACCCAGAAATATCAAATAGGAATCCATGGTGTTAAAACATTCTGACTTCTTGTGATCTGCGAGTTCTTTGCCACAGAAAACCACCTTAATATTTTTCCATAGTCAGAAAACTATTGAAAATTGAGCTAGCATTGAGTCTAATGAGGATTACCTGAAGTCGGAAAAAAGCTTGAAAACCACTGAATAAGATAAATGACTTGTTTGTTTTAAAATTCATATAAGAAATATGATTTAGTGAAAAAACAGCTCTGGAAACAGTCATATCCAGGTTTGTTGGATGAGGTTTTCACTTCCAGCAAAATAATGCATCTTCTGCATGGTATTACTTTCTACATGCTGTACCAGTATGCTTTCTGTAGATGTATTGATACTAGGGTCCAATTCAGAATAATTCTTTGTAATACAGGGAGTCTCATTGTTGTCAGTTGAACAATTCCCGTGAGTAAGGATTAGTGCCATGGATAAGGGTTACAAGTTTGGACCCTGAATGGAGAGATTTTGACTCCACTAACATTGGTTAGAGTCTTGTTGAGTTCTATGGAGTCAGAATTTCACCCTAACACTAAAGTTGATGTAATTTATAGAACCCTTCTGCTTTTTTGCCTGTTCATTACTGATAATAGGATCTTTTATAACGGTTACATCCATTTTGATATGATGCAGAAAAGCTACTACATATTTTTAAATAGTGTTTTGGGTGGTAGTTTACATTAAAACCCCCCCCACTAAATAGAAAGGTCATGGAAATACTGACTGAATAAAAAATACAATCTAAGTCAAATCTATTTGTTTTATCCATCATATATCGAAATTTGAATGTAGTTATTTTATTTTGTCTTTTGCATTTAATGTTTGTAATTTATTGCCTCAAATATAAACAGTTATAGTTATTACATGGCTTGGTAGAACTGGTATACTGGATCTTAGCCAAAAGGCCAATTGTGCCATCTTTTTACTGTTTCCTTTTCATTTTGAGCACATGGTATTCTTACTGCAGAGATGGAAGATGAGATGCAAATGGGGAGGAGGGAAAACACTCTCTCTCTATTCTCTTGTCATGTTTGTAACCTGAACTTTATATGTACTTTAAATCTGGTTTTACTATCTTTGTTCTTAATAAAGTATTTTATTGTAAAACAGGTGCTACTTAGTGTACTTAATCCGATTTAGTTGGACAGATGCATCAAACAGAATCTTATA